AAATGTCCAGGGGACTTTCCCTGGCTGTGTGAAATCCCAAGACGTGGATGTGGGTACTGCTCTGGGATGAAATGTGCATGTAAGTGCTTTGTGCTGTTTGGGTGTGTTTGTCCATTAATTTGTTCAGGAAGCCTTTGAAGCTTTATCTCACAATCCAAAGCAAACATGCTTCTGCTAAAATGATCTATGCTACTGGGGATAAAATATCTAATCTTGTTAGCTTCCTCTGCATTATGTCTCTCTTCTTGGCTGATGGCTAAGCTGTATCATTTAAATCCCAAGAGTTTGTGTTTATGTTGAGTTTGCCTGATGTGAAAGTTGTGCTGTACGGTTTGGTGTGAGAGCCCCTGCCACATTAGCCATAACCAGACTCTTTCCCGGGCTTGGGATTGAGGCAGGATGAACGTTAATGAATCCTCAGCAGGAGAGATCTGTTTATTCCCTCCATGCCAGGGTTTAGCAAAGTGCTTGGATGCACATGGACCCTGAAAAACTTCACTTGTTGCAGAGCTGTTTGACTCTAATGGGGCTGAAATTCAGGGTTTGATGAACAATGGCTCATGCCAGGTTCAGCAGCTCTGAGGGCAGTAGGTTTTGTGAGCCAGAACCTGTGTTTTGCTGCACTGTTGGATGGTTGGCAGGGTGGATCTACTCTGCCCAGTGCTGAATCCTGGGACGTAGAAATCATCCTGGAGCTGGGCTGTGAGGGCCTCATGTGGGGAAGGGAGATAAGTGATGAGGCTAGGCGGTGCATCTCTGCCATGGAACTCCAGGGATCTGTCTCCCTTGCTCCTTTCCTGCCCTCAAAGGCTGCTCTTTCCGAGCAGCGCAGACAGAAATGCTGCTACTTGCCTCTAAAGCAACAAGAATGCCTTAACTTTTGTGCATATCCCTGAATTACATCCCCAAAGTCAACTGTACCCAGGAGATCAAAACATGTGATAGTTTTCTGCTGGACACTACAAGCTCTGAGAGGCTGTTCTGTGTGTTTGTTGTGAAACGGGCCTCTCTGGTGATGATTATTTTTGTTACAGGCAGAGTTGGCTTTAGTTTCTGTGTTGAAGGTCCAACAATAACAGTGAGCCCTGCTCTCCTGGGGTGAGAGAAATCCAGAGGGGTTTAATTGCCAGGAAATTCAAGTAGGAGAACGCTCTGCTCCTGGCCTAAGGTTTCAGCCTGTGCTGATGAGCTGAAGTGCTGAAAAGTCCAAAGTCTAGGTGGAGGTTTCCGAGGCGTGGCTGTTATTTTTGGGTCCCCTGAGTGATGGTTGCTCCTTGAAGCCTGGGGGAGGCAGGAGAAGACTTCATCAGCCTGGACACCTCCAGGAGGTCAGAGCAGGGAAAGGGGGGTCTGCCCCCTGCAAAGGGTGAAGAACTCAGCTGCTGATGCCCATCTCCATGGGAAACTGGAGTTGCCTGCTGTATGCTGTGGCATTAGCAGGAATTTGTCTTCCAGGTCTTCCTTGCCCATCCCTATGGCATGTTTGCCATCCTCTGGTGTACTTCTGTTGGAGTGGTACTGCAAGAGGGTTGCTGGGATAGCCTTAAGTCATGTGGTGGGCCATAACAAAGGAGGAGATCTGGGGATCTCCCATCCAGAATACAACCTGCTCCAACCCTGCCAGGGAGTGTCAACCTCCATAGACTCCATTGAGGAGCCCGCCTGCTCTCCCACAGCCTCGCTGCACTGGTCCCTCCACCATGCAGGCTGGCAGGGGCCCCAGCAGCTTGCTTTCAATGCCTGCATTTTGCTCACTGTGCAAAAGGACGTCCCACGCACCTGGCAGACTTGGCTTATACTTGAGAATTTTGTTATAGCTTTAAGTGAACTCAGGGCTCGCAAAAGCTGCCAGAGCCCATCAGCTGTGGAGCACATCTTGCTTCCAAAGCATGCAGCAGCCATGCCACTCACCTTCCTTCTTCTGAATTGTATTCTTTTCATGGATTCAATGCATGAGTTTGAAAGGACACATTTATGTTGAAGTTTGACTCTCTACTGTGTACAAAACAGGCCTGATTGTATACAGAAAGCCAGTGGCTGGCATGTCTACTGAGACAAACCCTTTGCCTGTCAGTGGGCACAGTGATAGATTTTTGTGTTGCAGGTGTTAGGGTGAATCAGAAGAGAAGAAGTCCAACAGAACAAAGATATTAAAGTCATTTTTCCTCTTCAGATAACTCTTAAGAAGTCCTGGGTTTCTGGTATGCTATTGGCCATCACGTGTCCTGGTGCTGTGTGTAAAGTCAGTGCTGTACTGAACCAGCCACCTTCCTTTTCCTAGACCTTCTTGGGGAGGGATGAACGAGAAGACACAATCTGTTCCTCTGAGATACACAAATAAGGTTTCATGCAGGCGGAAGGCTTTCTCTGGGACAGAAAGTTTTTACTGGTGGTATCTGAACACCTGAGGGATGTGGCTGGTGCTCCCGTCCACTCAGTGGTTTCTCCTGTTTGTCTGTTTTGATGCAGAGGCCACAGCTACAGAGAACGGGGCTCCAGCCCCACTCACTCAGGCTGTCCTCACCAGCACCAGCAGTTTAGCTTGGGTACCAAACTGACCTGAAGTCAGGATTAAGCCCAGGGATGGATTTCCTTGGCTTGGTCCTGCTGACCTGCAGTGGCCTTGCAGGGCAAGGAAGAAGTTTTAAGACTGGGATAAATCTGGGTTTCTGCTTCTGAGCTCATTTGTTAGGGAAGATCCAGAGCAAGCAATGTTCACATTGCAGTTCCCCTCCAACCCGTTGAGTTGCAACGGCTCACAGAGTATTCCTAGTATCCAGCGTTAAGGGGCTAGCAACTTCTGAGTGGTGGGTGATGTTGGTGGTATCAGCCTAGCGGGTAGCATGTGTGTGAAAGCTGGAGAGACAGGGAGGGGATGACGAGGTGTGGAAGGATTGACTGTATTTTCATTGTTTGGAGACTTTGCCCTTTCCAAGAAAAATAATCCGCAGCTTGAATACTTCTCTTTGCTGGAGGGGGTGGACATGTGTGCAAACGAGGTGTGAATTTTTATGAGAAGGTGTGAAAGTGCGTACATGAGTGAAGTGTGAATTACACGTCTATTTGTACATTGATGTCAACAAGTCCGTGAATTTCTTCCTTCCACGTGAATGTCTCTCTCCCTCCCTCCCCCCCAGCCCGCACAGACACGTGTGGGCAAATATGCCTTACTGAGAGAAGAGGTTTGTGCAAGGACGTAGGTTTGTAAATGTTTGTGTGTTGAGCAAGCTCTCCTGTGGAACAAAACCAGATGTTTTCTGGTATTCTCAGCTCTTCTATGGCAGTGTTGCGATTTTTCCCCTCGGATTCTTTCAGGATGCTTGCAGGTTTATTTTAAGAGACAAGAGAAGGCTGCAGAGCTGCCATGGGTGTGTGAGAAGAAAGTTATTTTGAAGAATGAATGTGTTAGAGGGCATGAAAAACAGGGGAGAAAGTGAGACAATTCTTTTCCATGGTGAAGGAAGCTGTGCTCCCCCACGAAGGGCCCTCCTGCTTCATTGTTCCCTCACAGGGCACGTGTGCTTTCTGCAGGCAGCGTGCAGGCAGCAGGTTGTTTATTCAAAGTGCTTTTTCTCAGGAAGCATTACCACCGAGGGGTCCTGCCTTGCTCCCGCTGCTTGTGTTGGCTCTGGCAACGGGGCAGTCTGAAGGTGACTGGGATGTCCCCACCAAGAGCAGGCAGACTTGTGACACCTCTGTGGCTGAGGGACAGAGTCAGACCCACAGCATACGTCTGACCCCATACAAGACCAGGAGGTCTCAGGGCTTTGCAGCAACTGCTGCTGCAGATGGGACAGGAAAAGCCCTCAGGGCAGTGGGGAGCATGGTCCACAGAGCTGATGGGGTGTGGGACGTGTGGTTGCTCTCTTATATCGGGAAAGGGAAAGCCTTTCTGCAGTGTGGGTCTGGGTTTCACCCTGTATCCCTGCCAGCCTGCCCTGTGGAGTGGTTTAGGTTTTTGCTGGGTTTTGCTCATGTTGCTATTTTTTTGCCTGTTTTGCTGGGTCTGAGGAGGCAGTGCTGTCTCTGAGGGCAGCTGTGGCAGCCCATGGGGCCATAGTGTTGGGATGGGGTGGTGGCAACACAGGAGGGGCAGCAAGCCACATGCAATAGGGGCCCTGAGGAAAAAGGGACTTTGTTGGGACTTGTAGTGCGTTATCAATTGAGCATGTGATGCAGATTTTCCTCCCAGCAAGTAATGCAATAATAAATTTGATTTGCAGTGTTCATGAGATTAAATGTTTTTTTGAAGATGAAATCACCCTCTAGGGCCTGTTCTAACCCAAAGCTGAGAGTGCTTCCTTTGCTCACCACGCAGCCGTTGCCAGCCATTTGTGGGCTAGCCCCACAAAACCACCACTGTTGAGTGTCTGCGCCTGCAGTTCCAATGGCTGGGGCTAGCTTGAGAGGTTTCAGATGGGAAGCCAGTGTGCTGAGATAGGGTCATGGGGGAAGGCAGGGTTGGGCAGGGAGAGCACAGCAAGCGGGGAACGGCTGTCGTGGGGCTGCAGACTGGAGCCATCAGTCCTGCCTTGCTTCAGCTTCCTCCTTTGGGAGCAGCAAAACTTTTTGTGCTCCTGCGGATGTATTTGTAGCATCCAAATTCTAGTGTCTCCTGAGGCAGCTGTGGGAGACTGGCATGGAGCAGCTTGCAAAGAAGGTAAAACAAGGGATAAAATGAGGCGGCTCCAGATGATCTGATATCAATCTGTCTCTTGCTTTATGGCTCTGTAATTGCCTCGGCAAGAGCATTTATTTCTTTTTTCTGGTCTGTGTGAAATGTGGTATGTAAGTGTGGCAGGAGGTGGAGGGGAAAAGAAGCACGTTTGTTGTGTAGCATAATTGCCCTTGCACAGAGATTAATATGACATATTAGAGTGCTGAATGGATGTCAACGGCCTTTATCAGACCACCCCTAGCAGTGGTCCGGAGGGGCCAGCTATGTGCAGGCAATGCCCTGAACCTGTTTCAATGCTCTGTTGCCTTCTGTGTCTCTGCAGCTCAGCCATGTGGGGGCCGCCTGAACTCCAAGGATGCTGGGTACATCACCTCTCCGGGGTACCCCAATGACTACCCCTCCCACCAGAACTGTGAGTGGGTCATCTATGCCCCTGAACCCAACCAGAAGATTATCCTCAACTTCAACCCTCACTTTGAAATTGAAAAACACGACTGCAAGTAAGAGACTTCTTCTTCCTTTTCTTCCCAATTTTGCCTAGCGATATGGGCCTCACGCTTCCTTGTGTGTGAAAACAAGCATTGTCCTGGGGCCACATAGATCTGCATCTCATTGCCTTTCAGGGGCAAGTATGCCCTTACCAGCTGGGTGGTTATAAGATGCAGCTTTGGACAAACAGGATGAGCCTACTCTGCGCTGAAATGCTGGTTCTTAACTCAGCCTTGTATCAACATGAAAGCAAGAGCTAACTGGCTTTGAAACTGAGCTTGACTTCTCTTAAAAGGCAGCTTGTTTTTCTCAGTGTTGAAGTGGCCACACTGTCCTTTTAAACCATGCTGAGAGAGCAGAGCAATTTCCTGGTGTGTAACTATGCAGAGGTATGGCATACAGAGCCCTAGGGCTGGAGACCCAGGCTTGGGCCATGTGAGGCTAGGGGCTTGACGGTCTGAGCTGTTTGGGCTGGATCTGACTTTGCACAGTGCTTACTCTGCTGCTTTTGGTAAACTGGGAGGTTGGTTTTGTTTGCCTTTTTTTGTTTTGACTTCTTCTAAGATGGGACTCAAACTGGATGCCCAGGAAAAACAATTAACAACTAGTAAAGAATAATTAACGGCATCAAAGGGCACCATAAAAGGCTGAGTTAATAACATGGTCTCAGCAGACACATAAACCTGTGTGTTTAATCTGGAATCCACAGCCAGCTATGGGGGTGCCTGAGCTGTGAAGGAGCTTGGGGCCTGACACAGCAGTCTTGGCAGACATGCTGGTCCTGTTGATTAAAAAGGGGGTTATATATGGAGAGGGGAACTCTGCTTTCAAAAGGGATAGAGGGACAGGGGAAGCTTTTATAGGGCTGTAGAATCGGTCCTGTGGAGAACAAAGAATTCAGCATGGGTTTGATGATGTACGGAAGGTTATGAAGTGTAGAGCTGGACCCTCAGCTACCATAAATCAGCTCCTCTGATTCTAATGAAGGTGTGCTGATTGATGTAATTTGGGATCTCATAACCCCCTACAGATAAAGCCTGGGCTAATAAGGCTTAGAGCACTATGAACTCTCTCTGAAGTCACTACGTATGCAAGGCATTTAGCACTTTTCAAGATCAGGCCTGTGTTTAGAGGGAGAAGTTAGAGGAAGGCCTATAGTGAGCATAGATGAACACAACAAGCCTCAGCAATGCGCATGAGAATGATAGTTGCTATCAGATTTTATTATTGCTTGCACAGGCTGAACTGAATAGCCTTCTCATAGCTAATGCAGTTTCCCCATATTCACAGTAATAAAAGCTTTATAGGCCTATATTCACAGTCTACAGAGTATGTGGTAGATATTAGGTGGGGCAACGTTGTGTGCAAGACAGAGGTTGAACTGGGCAGGAGGGACTCCTGCTTCTGCTTCTCCAAGGTCTCAGGCAAACAAAGCCAAGTTGGTCAGAGAGCCAGAAACCACCATGGGCATCTGTTTTTAACTCCACTTGGTAGGAAGCTGTCAGGTTTAGATCTGAGCACCTTGGACAACTTTTGCCACGTTTTGCTGCCTGTGAGAGAGCAGGTTCTGGTCCCAAGCTGGAGGTGGGGTGTGCTGGAGGGGGTACCTGAGTGCTGGAGATGTTGTCCCTTTGCTGCCTTCTACTTTATCATGGCAGATCTTCTGAGTGGCTGCTATGTGGTCTCACGCTTTCCCTTTCTGCGTGTATGTGCATGAAGGAGACTTTAAAGCAGCCTTTAAAGGTTGAAGGGTTTTTGTCCCCCATGTGGGACATTAATAGTGGAGGGTTTGTCAGGGTCTCTGATTCATTTCAGCTCCTGCAGCAACATTGCTCTCTAGAAACCAGGTATTAATATCAAACCTCTCCTGAAAGCGAAGCTTGCCTGCACCTCTTTACCCCCTCAACGGCCACCTTTGTGCAAGTGAAACGGGGTTCACCCACAGTGCACTTGGGCTTCTGATGGCAACAGGTATGAGCTGGGAGCCAAGCAGACATTGGGTGCCTGCTCCCCAGAGCCAGCACTGCAAAGGAGTGTGTTTAAAAGATTGTCATGGACAGTGGTTGATAGGAAGCATAACAAAACAAATGAAATCATATGTGATAAACACTGCCTGAAAGAAATTGATAGGAGGGATATTTCTTTGTAAGTGACCTACCAAAAGGAGACAAGTATTACCACTGTGTAATGCTTGGGCATTAAGCAGCTATAATAAGTGACCAGCTAGTAATAAATCTCATCTGAGCATGAGAGGGTATTCTATGAAGAGGCAAAGGCCTCATTACAGCTGCAGGTGGGAACCTTAACAGGAACAGGAGTTCAGCATCAAAGAAACAGTCTCTGGGCAAAGCCCTTCTTTTGACATCTGATCATTAATATAGAGCACATTCACACAAAGGTGACAGGCTGATGAACCCCACTGTGGCCCTCTGTCTCTGGGCAGGCAAGGTTCTCCTTAAGCTTGTATTGCTACCTGGCAGCTATCAGAGCAGCAGGCTGGTCTGTGCTTCCAGCTGCCAGAGGTAAACACCAACACACCCTTCCTCTGTTGCTTCTTGCTTCAACGTTTCTTTTTACCTTATTAGGCCAAAGTTTCTCCCTCATAAAACATAACATTTACATTCCTAAAACCCATTCTAAGGCTTACAAAAGTATCTGCAGAAGTCTTCTTAGTTTTACTATGTCCCTTCTGCCCTTCCTTGTATCTGCTTTAGATTTCCCTTTGGGACGGGAGGTGTTTCCTCCTGTGTTTTGTGCACTGCTTGGCACCCTAGGGACGTCTGTGGAAAGGTCAGTAATTTCCCCTCTATCAGCAGCTGGCCGGAAAGGGCCCGTCTACCTGCTGCAGTCCGGATGTGGAGCAAGAGCTGGCTGCTGGTGCAGCTTCACAGCCGGCACTCCCTGTCTGGAGGGCGGGAGCATCAGCCAGGGATGGATGCTCAGAGGTGGGAGCCAGGACGGCTGCTCAGCACTGGGTGTTGCTGTTATTCTTCTGGAAGCACATCTGGGCTTTTATTTTTCACCTGTGTCCACCACCATCATGAAGTAATTGGGTGGAACTGAAGCCCCAGAACTATTTTTCTCTCCACCTCCCTGTGCTTTATCTGCGCTTTGAGGAAGCACCTTACTTTGGGAAGGCACTTCAGGTTAAGAAAATTGGAGCAGAGCAGAGATGCGTGTTGTGGGATGTAGGGCACGCTGTGATAGGGACTATGGGACCTAGACTATTCTTGTGCTGTCCTGCAGCTGTAGGGCAGAGCCAAAGGGAAGTTCGATGCTCTGATAAAAGACTTGTTGAACTATTCAGGAACAACTGTAATAGCACATCTGCTCACCATTTCTTCCTCTCTCGGCTGTGAGTGCAGCTTTTGCTCGGGCACCATCATATCTGCACTCTGAACAGGGAAGTGTCATCCAGTGGAAAAGCCCATGCTGCTGCTGCTATGGTGAAATATTTCCACTCCCTGTGTGCCATGGTGGTACCTGGGCAGCTTTGTGCATGCCAGGGTTCATTTGTGATCTCTGGAGCAACCTGAACCACTTGCCATAGGTGTGTAACGGGTGGCTGTCCAGTCAGGAGGGGTAGCTCAGCTTGTGCAGCCACATAGCCAAGCTACTGGCTCCTTCCTAAGCGCCGTTTTGCTGTTCTGTCAGCACTGATTGCTTGGAAAATCCAAGTCAGAAACCTCAGCTCTGAATGAATTGTGTTTATAACCAACCGCCTTTTCCATTTATGCCTCCCTTCTGCTGCTGGGCTTCTTTTTGGAACATTAAAAGGCCCCTCATGAGACTGGCTGCTGACTGCCATCGCTGGCCATGAGGATTAGGCTGGGCAGCGCTGCGGTTGAGCACCGGGATGTTGCTGTATACACATGCCAGAGGCATGCTCCCTCCACACTGCAGCCGTTGGGCTTGTGCTCGCAGGAGACCTTTGAGCTGAGTCATAACATCTGCACCAGGGGAACGTTATTTCTTAACGAACGCCCGACCGATCATGGCCGTGCCAGCGGGTTTCCCTGCAGCCCTTTCCAGCACATGCTGCTACTGGGTTGCAATGGTGGGATCCCTGCCTCGGGCGGATTTCGGGGACCGTATCCGTGGCTCGCAGCCCCCTCTGGTGGCACACGCCAAATGCTGGGAAAGGTTCCTGGAGACAGGGGACCGGGGCTCCAAAATGAGCAGGAGCCAGCACATTGGAGACAGTCCTGAGCTGCACAGTCAGGCTCTTCCTCCTGACTTTGGCTCCTCGTGTTTCATCCAAGGGTGAAATTCTCCAAGGGTTTCCAGAAACAGGAATTGGGGCCACCTTAATGAGGAAATGTATGCAGTTGTCACTGTGACCTCTAAAGTGCCACAGTGGTGCTGAGAGAGTTGAACCAAGTTCAGCATCCTGCTGCATGCTGGGTACCGGGCAGGTATGGCAGGAGATGTCCCTGCTTCCAGCCTGAAGGACAGAGAGGACCAAGGTTTGGCAAGGGAATACACCATGCTTCCAGTGCCCATCTTGCAGAGCACTGCCTGCCAGGGAATGCTGGCAGTAGCATACTTGTGTTCCCAGGCCACAGTACAAAGGATGAAGCACATGGGCTTGGCTAGCCAGTGAAGACCTCTTATGGCAGCGTGGCCATCTCCTGTGCTTCCAGGAAGCTGGGCACTAGAACAAAGCATCCTTCCTAGAGAGCAGCAGAGACACTGGCCCAAGTCCCTTGCTTGAGCAGCTGGGGGAGCGGCAGCCAGCCCCAGTGCCCACAGGCAGGCAGCTGGTGGCTGCAGTGTTCAGCTTGGCTCTCTTGACCACCTCCCTCAAACAAGAGCATAGTACTGCAAGAAGCTGTCCTCCTGTCAGCAAAGGTTAAAAGTAGACAAAGCAGCAATTATGGACATCTAATTAGTAAATGCTTTGAAAAGTATGCATAATTAGCTTATTAGTAAACATTTTAGAAACAATGCAGTTCATCTTGAGATTGCAAAAATGCCTGAAATGGGAAATACATTTGGAGCACTAGAGAAC